TTCCATCACATTCCATTGTAATTTGTCTCATATCCTTCATAATCACCTCGGCAGAATAGCCATAGCACCTACTTGTGGAGTCGTTGTATGTCTAAATAAATAAATAAATAAATAAAATAGTGTAATCAGACTAGGTACCTCAAAAAAAAAAAAAAACACTGAGCTCCTGGTTCACTGATAAAATCAGTCAAAAGTATAACATTTTCCATTTGCTGCCACCCATTCTACCACATGTAACATAAGTAATCTTATGTGCACTTAGCGGCAAGACAGGTTTCTTCCGAGTTCTGGTGCATTCTCTGCTAGTCTGTCCAGGGTGATAAGCAACCAGCACAACTATTTTTAAGCTAAAAGAATCACAAACATTTTGTCTTGCTCTTGGATCTTGAAAGTCAGGTTAATAAAGACCTTCAGCTTGATTACAATTTCAATTTACAAATAAATTATCAAATAGGCAATAATTCTTCAGATTCTAAGAGAATACAAGCAGCACAGTGGCCTCAGGGACGATACACATGTTAGAATACAATAAAAGAGCAGTTCCTCAGGCCTATCGCTTATAAATTAGGTATTTATCAATAGAAATAATGCAGATAACAGAATAACAGAACGGAGCTGCACTTTGACTTGCTGTGAATGCTGGCGCTGTGCAAGGGCGTTGTGGAACAGCCTTGGTCAAAATCCGCCAAGTTCCTTGGTTATTTGGGCTTTTTCGACAATCCCGTGGGCGACAACTAGCCGCACCCTGTCATACCGTAAAATGGGGTGTTAAGGGACAGTGGGGTGATAAGGGACAGTTGCGTGGGAAAAACTTTGAGTCATGCTAAGTTCCTAATTTGAGAAGGTTAAATAAAAACTTGAGTTTGGTAGTTGACACTGATTTGTTCTTGACTATAGGACAAAATGGCATGGTTTTTCATGCAAGTGATTTGGTTCAAAAATTGTTTTGAAAATCATGCTACATTTTCACAAAATTGAGTCATCTCCAAAACTCTGTGTGTATCACATAAACTAGTAGGTGTACACTCGGGGGCAGATTGATGTTTCACCACTTCCTACCCATCGAGCTCCCATGGATCAGTAGTGGCTGCTGCCAGTGTTTGCCCTCAGCACTGCTCAGCACTGCCTGCCAATGCCAGTGCTGCCAGTCCTGCCACTGACAGCAGCCAGTGCTGAGCCATGGGAGCCCGATGGGTAGGGAGTGGTGGAACATCAATCTGCCCCCGAGTGTACAGGTGAAATGAATGCATAGGTGTATTGTCACATGTATTGCACATGTTTCCTGAAAAACTTATACAAATCCACCCATTCATTCATCATCCTCTTCCTCTTTTCTGGACACATGCATATTTTGAGGTGGATGTGGGGTGCTAAGGGACAGGGAAGAAAAAATAAAAAATAATATCTAAATATAATTTCATAAAGTTTTCTTTCAGTAGGCATGGAAAACAGCAAATTCCACATAAAATGCTGGCAAGTTCATGCTTTTATCTCTAACACATCTTAAGCTATATAACAATACACCTCAAAAGCCCCGTACCTAACACTCTTTAACAATGATGGGTCAATGAAATGTGATGTCATCATAAAAAGGCCAAAACAAATAGGGCAACATAATGACAAGTGACTAGCTTCAAAATGGTTTTTTGTTGATGACAAAAGGGTACTTTTTGGTTCTGTTTACCTTATAATTAGCACATTTTCCAGAAGCGTAAACCGCATTACATGTAATTGGCTAATAAGGCCATTAGTGGTGAATGAACCTGACTTGTTTTGTGACAGAATATGCAAAACATTTCAATAAATAAATTGTGTAGCCTTTCACACCCAAATTGTGAGCATTTGATGACCATTTCTTGGAATAATATAGGTGTCCCTTAACACCCCACATTGGGGTGCCAGGGGACAGTGATGAAAAATAATAAAAAATAATATGCATGTATATATTTAAAAAAATTTATGTAGCAGGCTTGTAAAGCACCAAATTCCACATAAAATGCTGCTAAGTTGATGCTTCTATCCCCAACCCTTCTTAAGTTATATAACAAAACGCCTCAAAACTGTCCCTTAACACCCCGTTTTACGGTACTTCAAAAAGCCACTTTGTCATAACCCATGACGTCACGTGGCTGCCAAGTGCCATTTCTAGTTGGAATATAATTAGGCGGAAAATGTCCAAGGTATGCCAAAGAACTTGGTGCATTAAATGGTAATGACTGTATTTCATGGAACTGTGGTACTTATACAAATTCCATCGATTTTTATTTAAAACAAATAATTTGGATAAATTATTAGTACCTACAACTCAACAAATGAGCTTCCATATGCTATCTCTACACGCTATCTTGGTCTTTTCTGCCAAATTACATTTGGACTTTCTAGGCGATTCCAATGCAGCCACAGGCGACTACTGGCCGCATGGCCTGAGAATATTTGTGTGTAGTAAAAAATGGGAAGCGTGTGGTGGCGTGCGTGAAGCAGGTTCTGGTAAGTAACAAGCGCTCTTTCTATAGTGTCAGTGGCAATGGTAGCAACCGTTACAATAGGTCGAAATTTTTCAATAGTACCGAACATTTCCACTGTGGCTAGATTAGTTATATCTATTGATTAATGTTAACCAAAGGTGTTACCATAAATAACCGCCTAAAATAGCCAGATAATTTACACCTAAACCAAATTATGAACACTGATAAGTATAGGCACCAATAGCTCGGACAAAACATAACCAAACCTAACCTAACCTAAATTAACAAAACCTAACCTAAACTTACCAAAAATGCACCTACCACCTACATCAACAACCAAAACCTAATTGTGTTGTTATTGAAATTAGACTAAATTAACTAGTAACAGGAAAATCAGAATTTTATTAGCTTTTCGATGTTTGCAAATAATTAACAATATTTCACATCGAAAAACACCTATACTATACATTTTTACTAATGTTTGAACAGGTACCGTTGGAACTTTTCACCCAATAATGTGTTAGGTCGGGATTTATTGTGAAATGTCATTTACCAGACGTCCCATTTATGGAAGGAGCGTCCCAATCTTTGGAAAATGCCCTTTGTTACGGCTGAAAGCCTCAAAACCCAAAATGATAACAAATAAAATAAATTAAATACTACGTGTATTGGTAATGGGGTAGCAAGGGAAAAGGGGAAAGAAAATGATAAGACGACGAGACACTTCAAACTCCGAAGCCGACGAGATGCAGATCCGTCTGACGTTCAACCAAATAAATTGCAGCCAATAATGTAACCAAAGTAGTGCAACGAGAATCTTGAGTGCAACATATACATTTGCTTTGCAACCTGTTTGCAACGTTTTAACAGTAATCTTACCTTGTTCTTGCCCTATCTTTCTCTGATTTCGGCCGAGATCTAATCAAAAAGTCAAAAACCACGCCGACGCGTTTGTCTCAGACGCGCCGCAGACACATTGACCTCTATAGAGGTCAATGCGGCGACACTAAAACGCAGCAGAACATCGTTAAAGTGCTGCTCTACGAGTCGCGACTACTAAACCAAAGTATATCGGCCGTCACACCCTTCTATTTTTAAAAGAGCATTCCAAAAATGGAAGCTTCCAAAAATGAAACAGATAACCACAGTTTCCCCAACTCAGCGTAGATCCCTAAAATAAATTGTGAACTTGAACTGAGATAGGTATCTACCTACCAGTCTGCAAAATGTGGCAGGGAGCTAGACGAGATTTTCGGGGCAGACAAAGTCCTGCCCCAAATCAGAATGCTGAGACCGGGGCAGCTCAATTGCTGCCCCTAATAATGAGAATGATCTAACGTTATATTGATGTGGGAGGTGGTGTGCATTCGAAATCATTGGGAGATCAGAGATGGACCCCTTTGGCTGACGGCAACACGCTACGAGACAAAAGATGGAAAGTGAGATATACTTGATCACACAAAAACATTTTCTATTAAAACAAATCTTACTTACCTCCGGCTCCCACAAGAATAAACGCGGCACAACGGCACAACAGACGATGCGAATTGCGAGCCACGCACGCCACCTGAAAACCAAGGCCCTAAAATACAAGTGAGGGGGCCAGGCCAGACGGTCAGTCAAAGTAAATCCCACAAAAGCCCATAAAGCTCCTGATTTTACCCACTATTTTTGGGGGTGAGCACTAGATTTACATAAGAAATAGGTAATTTATTTTCATAGATAAGTACCAGTGCTCAAAGTGTGGGGTCCGACTGCTCTGGTTTCATAAGAAATGCAGGGTCGCGACCCCTCCGAACACAACGTCGATGACGCCCCTGAGCTGGAAAGCACGGCCCGTTTCAAGCTGGAGAGGGCCCGTGTTCCAGTCTAAGAGGTCCCGTTTCAAGCCTGAGAAGGCCAGTGAAATGGAATCGGAGGCAGAATAAGTGGAAAAAACGATGAATTTTCGTTTTCGGAAGGGGATATCACGATTCTTTTTCTAGGAAATTATAATTATATGCGTAGTAAAATATGTGGAATTTACAATAATGTACCTATCCATTATGATCTACAGGCCTGCATGCATCGATACTGTGAAAGTGCTTCATATGGCAGCTTCGTTGGAAGGTAAAAGAAAATGGTATAGGTAAAAAAAAAGAAATATCCATTCAGGGCGTACTTGATCCGAAATGAGTGCAGTGCGCTTAAAGAAACCGTATGTATAAACACACTGCGCTGTTACCTGAACCATCTTTTCCAGTTTAGGCGTAGTTTTGCGCAATTAGTACTGACAATTCCGGAAAAAAGCTTCCCGTGCCAAATAGGCTGCAGGCTGCCATTGACGTATTTTCCAGTCAAAATATACATATTCGTAATGCTTTTTCAATTCTCTGTCCATCGACGATTGAAATTATTTGCAATCGTTACGACACAAATAAATAGGCTCAAAAGTTAACGAACCTATAAGGGCACACCCCTTCCGCTTAGAGCGCACCGAGATATCGCAGGTCACGTGACTGCGCTTCAACCGGAATCCCCCGTCCAGGCAGAGAAGGCGGTTTGATCAGACGCAGCAAGTGACAGCTAAACCCTCAGAGCCTGGGGCTCAGAAGGAGAAGAGGAAGCCTGTTATCTGTTTTCGCTGCAAGCAGCCGGGACATATGGCCAGAGGCTGTGCAAATTTCGAGTAGCCGCGATTCGGCAGGGGCGCGTGGTCGCGGCGTCTGATGTACCCGTGAGGGGTGTGGCCCCGAGACAGTTAAACTGGGGAGTGGCGCGGCAGGACTGGTGGCCCACGGGGGCGCCGGCGCCGCACTGTTTCCGGTGGCCCAGTGGGCAGGTGGCGCCACCTTCAGCGTCGCAGCTGGGCATGGCGGCGCCCTTTTCGGCGCCGTGGTTGGACGGCGCGCCGCAGCGGGGCCAGGCGGCGCCCTCCTCAGCGTCGTGGTCGGCCGGCGCGCCGCGGCTGGGCCAGGCGGCACCCTCTTCAGCGTCGTGGCCGGCCGGCGCGCTGCAGCTGGGCCAGGCGGCGCCCTTTCCGGCGCCGTGCTCGGCCGGCGTGCTGCAGCCTGGCCGGGCGGAGCCCTCTTCGGCGCCGTGGTCGGACGGCGCGCGGCAGCCGGGCCAAGCGGCGCCCTCTTCAGCGTCGTGGCCGGCCGGCGCGCTGCAGCTGGGCCAGGCGGCGCCCTTTCCGGCGCCGTGCTCGGACGGCGCGCTGCAGCCGGGCCAGGCGGAGCCCTCTTCGGCGTCGGGGGAGGTACCGTGTTCGGAGTCGAGTGTGACTGGGGTTTCTGCGGCGCGACGCACGCCTCCCGGTGGAGGCCTTCCGTTGGAGGCCGGGTGTCGTGCCGCGCCGGAGTCGGGCGCGCAGGGTGAGTCGGTTTCGCCGGCTGCTGAGCCTGTGTGTGTTGACACTGACGATTCGGCCGGCTGTGTGTCCTCCCGGCCGGGCTCTGTGGATGTGGCAAGGTTCGCTGAATGTTTAGAGGCGGATGCTGTGATGAGTCCGTCAGCCGTCGAGCCCGATGCGATAGGCTTGTCTGACGTGGATGAGCGTTCTGGCCTACAGGGGGCCACCGCGGCGGGCGTTCGAGTGCCGAGCGCACCCACTGGTGAGGCACTGACGGCGGAGTCACCACGATCGAGTTGCAGTGGTAGGGACAAACCCGGTCCCGGAGTTCGGGGGGCTGGAGTGTTGCGTGCCACTGTGGCTGGGGGTGTGCTGGCTCGGGCAGGTCGGGTTGTGTGTGGACAGCGCAGTCATGTAGCAGCCGCCCGAGTGGGGGGTTATAATGATGCGGAAGTCTTTGTCTCGGGATACGTTCAGCATAAGAGAGTGGACTGGTTGCTAGATACTGGGGCACAATGTAGTGTTGTTTCGTCAGATGTCATTGGGGATATGGATGTCCAGAGGATCCCCGCTCTGAGGCAGCCCGTCACTGTTGATGGAAACGCATTAGATTTAGAATGCGTAGTTGTGTGTGATGTTAGTATCGGAGATAAGACACTGCGAGATCAGCCCCTGTTTGTGGTGCGTGGCCTGTCTCCCTCTTGCATACTGGGCACTGATTTGCTGAAAAAGATGGGATCGGCTGTTTCTATAGACTTTGCCGCCCACACAGTGAGTGTTCGGGGGTGTACTGTTACCGAGGCAGCAGACTGCGTGCGGTCCTCGGACACCGTTATCATCCCTCCGAAGCACCAAAGTATTGTGATGTGTTCTGTTCCAGATGATGTTTCGGGGGTGGTCGTTGTTGAGTCGAGTAGCCTTCTTTCTGATAAACATTCACTCTTGGCGGCTAGATCTGTGGCGACAGTGTCCAAGGGAGGTATGATACCCGTAAGAGTTTTGAACCCGTCAGGCCGGGGTGTCACTTTGCCCGCTCGCTCTGTGGTGGCCCGTCTGATGGATCACTCAAAGATTGCTGATGGTGACTCTGGGGATGAATGTGAGATTGATGATGCTTGGGTGAACGCTCTGATCGAGGGTTCTGACCTCAGTGATGATGCACAGAAAACTGCCCTCTCCGATCTTTTGAGTAAGCACAAACAAGCATTCTCGTTAGATGGTGAGCTGGGACAGTGTGGTATCGTGAAACATTCGATCCCGCTCGTAGAGGGAGCCCGCCCCGTTTCTCAGCCTCCGCGAAGGATTAACGTAATTGACAGGGATGATGTTGACGCGGCTGTCCTGAAAATGCAGCGAGATGGTATCATTCGTCCCAGCTGCTCGCCGTGGAGCTCCCCGGTGGTGCCAGTTCGGAAACGAGATGGCTCGCTGCGACTCTGCATTGATTACCGTCGTCTTAACGACCTAACGCATGGTGATTCTCACCCCTTACCCAGGGTGGAGGACTGTTTGGATGCTCTTTCCGGGTCATCTTGGTTCAGCGTCTTGGATCTTCAGTCGGGATATTGGCAGCAGGAGGTAAAGGACTCAGATAAGGAAAAGACAGCCTTCTCTACCCACACGGGACTCTGGGAATTTTCGAGGATGCCGTTTGGACTGAAGGGAGCCCCGGCCTCATTCCAGCGTCTCATGATGGCTGTTCTTGCTGGGTTAACCTGGCGGGAGTGCCTGGTTTACCTAGATGATGTGATCGTATTCGGTAAGTCGTTTGATGAAGCTTTGAGTCACCTGGATCACGTTCTGTGTGCCGTAAAGGAGGCCAATCTGAAACTTAACCTGAGGAAATGTAGTTTTTTTAAGGAGGAGGTGAAGTTTTTAGGTCATGTCATTAGCGGTGAGGGCATTTCCGCGGATCCTTCGAAGGTCTCGGCGGTTGTCGACTACGAACGTCCTAAAAACGTCCATGATGTGCGTAGATTCATTGGTTTAGCTAGTTATTTCAGAAAGTTCATACCAAACTTTTCTACAGTGGCTAAGCCATTGCTTAAGCTGACCGAGGATCGTGCGAAATTTCTTTGGGATGACATGTGCGAGTCCGCCTTTCAAAGTTTGAAGCGTCTGCTGACGGAGGCGCCAGTTCTGGCTTTCCCCGATTTCGAGAAAGAGTTTATTCTCACTACCGATGCCAGCGGCATCGGTCTGGGTGCAATACTTACCCAGCGGGTTGACGGTTCTGAAAAAGTGGTGGCGTTTGCGAGCCGCTGTCTGTCCAAAATCGAGGCTCGATACAGCGCCACCGAGCGGGAGTGCTTGGCAGTGGTCTGGGCGGTTCGCCACTTTGCTGTATACCTGCAGGGTAAACCATTCGCACTCCAGACAGATCACTGCCCGTTGACGTACTTGCGTTCGTGCAAGGACCCGAGGGGACGGCTGGCTCGGTGGATCCTTGAGCTGGAACAATTTCCGTACATAATGCAGTACCGTCCAGGACGGTCCATCCCACATGCTGATGCGCTGTCAAGGGCGGTGTCGGGAGGTGTGGTTGGTCACATTGATCTCAAGTCTGATGAACACCGTATCCTTCTGGCCCAGCGCAGCGATCCAGATATATTGCTGGTTGTCGTCAGTCTTTTGCATGGTTTGCCAAATGTATCTAGTCAGTCGTCTGTCGTACGACACTATTTGTCAGTGAAAGAGGCTTTGGAAGTGGACAGCTCTTCGGGGTTGTTATACATTCACGCGGACAACCACAGGCGTCTTGTCGTTCCAGCTTCCATGGTCGATGAGATACTCTCAGAGTCCCACGACAGTCGCTGGGCGGGTCATTTGGGAATTTCAAAGACTACTGAGAAGCTGAAGTGCCGTTTCTATTGGCCCCGAATGACCATTGACGTAGCCAACTTCGTCAAATCTTGCTCTCCATGTTCCAAGAAGAAAAGCCCTTGCCATCCCCTCAGGGCGGAGTTCGGGAAGATGCCTCTTCCAGCCCGACCTTGGGAATGGGTCTCCACAGACATTACGGGACCCTTTCCGTTGACGGACTCTGGTAACCGATACATCCTGGTAGTGGTCTGCGGATTTTCGAAGTGGGTCGAGGCATTTCCCATTCCCAACCAGGAGGCGGAAACGGTTGCTAGGATCCTGGTTAGGGAGCTCTTCTGCAGGTATGGGTGTCCACGCGTTATCCACTCAGACCAGGGTCGCAATTTCGAGAGCCGATTGTTTAAGGAAGTCTGTCGACATCTGGATATCGACAAAACACGCACGACGGGTTACCATCCATCCGGAAACGGACAGGTGGAACGTTTCAACAAAACCCTGTGCTCCATGATGGCTGCTTTCGTTTCAGACAATCAAAGGGATTGGGACACGGTGGTCCCAAAAGTTGTTTTTGCTTACAACACGAGCAAGCATGAGACTACCGGTGTTTCTCCTTTCGAGATATTTCATGGTCGCCCGGCCAGACTCCCTCTCGACGTCACTTGTGGTGGTGGTGACTGTCCGGCAGACAGGATCTGTTCCCCTCGAGAGCTTGAGGAGGTCCGTCGGAAGGTGGCTGCTGCTATCGAGGAAGCAGCTGCCAAACGGCGTCAGCGTCAGGTTGTGAACCAGATGCAGCATCAGGTGGGTGACCGGGTGTGGCTGCACAGAGCGGTCGGGCGAAAGGGACTTTCCCCCAAGCTGCAGAGTCCCTGGTCGGGCCCCTTTGATATCATTGAGGTGCTGTCGCCGCAGAACTATCGCTTGAGGTTAAAGAACGGTAGGAAGGTGGTAGTACATCATGATCACCTGAAACCGTATGTAGAACGTGAGGAGTATGCGCGCAAAGGTAGCCAGGATGAACAGGATGAGGATGATCATGGATCTCAGTCTGAGTCTGTTGATGCTGGTGAAGTGGTAGAGGAAGACGATGATGACTATGTGCCATATCTGTCCCAACATCGCGCACCCGATGTGTGTATCGATCACAGAGCGGACGTCCTAAGTGGTCCGGAGCATGCTAACGTAGAAGCACCGTTGCTATCCTCTAGTACAGTCGCAGATGCTACGGATCAGGAAGCTTCTGTTGGTGCCGAGGGGGATACGAGTGTGCTGCACAGCGCTGATGGAGGAACTGTGCCCGATGTAGACTCGAGGGACGGTGCTTGCGTTGTTGTCACGGATAGTGTGGCTGATGGTGATGACAGGCTGACGACAGGAGGTGATGGGGATACTGGGACTAACGCTGTCAGACGAAGTAAAAGAAAAAGATCCGCCCCAAAGCTTTATGGAGAATGGCTGTTTAGTTAACTTCATGTGTTCCTACGCACGATGTTACATGGCGGTGTATGGCGGGGAGGAATGTGACGAATGTGTCCTGTGCATGTTGTGACTGTGTGTTATCCTTCCCCGGCAGACCTGTACCTGGGCCGAATACATGCTTTGAACTGAACATTACAATACACTGCCACCGCACCTGTATTGTGCCCCGTTTCCATTACGTGCCGACACGGGGGCATTAGAGCTGTGATGTATAGCGGTGGTGGGGCCGGCGGGGCGGGGTCCGGTGACCGGCTGTGTAAACGGGCGCCGATTTATACCCCGTGGGTGGCGCCGCCGCCGCCGCCGCAGACAGTCGCTGTCGACAGGCGCTGTGACCGGTCAGACCAGATCGACGGCCGTCCGGAGGCGGGGCGCGGCAGTTTGGTGGTTTCCGTCTCAATCGACCGGAAACCGCAGGTCCATCGCCTTGAGAGGAAGAGGAAGACACGGACCGTTTGGACTTGTGACCTTTGTGTGGACACTTGGCTATTCGTTGTTAGTCGACAATGAGTTGTAAAAGACGTGACTTTTTTGCGCAGGTTCGCCTGTTTTTTTTTTTTAACTCCTCTTTATTGTTATGTAGCCACGTGCAGCGCCGTTTCGGCGCAGTATTAGACAGGTTAGGCATGTGGGACTGATGATTACTGTATGCCTGGCCTATTCAAATACATTAGCCAGAGGGGTGTGGTAATAACTGGTGTAAGCAAATTGACCACGGTCAAAAATGCATTACCAGAATGCACTTAAGCCAACATTTTGGGATGGTCTCGTTCCTAAGTCGGCTAAGAGCTTCGGTCCAGAAAATAAATTTATCGTTGGCATACAGTAAAATACATACCAAACTCGGCCGGTGATAAATTTTCAAGACCTCAGTCCTTACTGATTTTTGAACTCGGCCTTCGGCCTCGTTCAAAAATCCAGTAAGGACCTCGGTCTTGAAAATTTATTTACACCGGCCTTGTTCAGTATTATATAATACCGGACGAACATCTTATAAATCCTAATTAGATAAAAATGGCCAGCAGGCGTCGGCAAATGACTTTGCATTCATTGATAAAGGTGGGAGGTGACTTACATATTTCATTTTGTATTAAAATTTCAACAACCATTAACAAAAATGTTGAATTGTGAACAATGATAGAATATATTTTAATCCAAGAGCTTTGACCATGTAAGAAATTCACGCTAGGTATACATAAGAGTTGGAGTTAAATGCCAGATTTGTTTCACCTCTACAGAACATCATAGCCCTTCCTTTCAACTTATGCATGCAAAACACTGGAATTGTCAGCGTCACACTATATTGGCAGCATACCGAGCGAGCGCTCTCGCAGGGTGAAACACCACGACCACAAAGTGTGAACCCTGCAGTGCACCATAGACAGCAGTGTTTATGGTATAGCCGCTACCTGCCACGGACTGGAGGTCATTCAGTTATCATTATGACACGCGTAAGCCGACCCCAAGTTAGCACTGGTGTCACTTTCGACCGGCATTGTCGTCCATTGTGGTCAACAGATGACCCCCTGTCCCGCTGCGAGGTATGCTGTGGAGATACGACTGTTGGTGATTGGGTTTAAGTGAATGAGTTAGTGTTGGCTAAAGCAGGTCTGTTTGGGGATTCTTTATGAGCACGTCCGTGGCTCATTGAGTGCACTGATGAATGAAAAAAGGCAGAAGGTGTGATTGATTTGCATTAGCATTAAGCTATTAAACGGGTGCGCCTTATCTATCACCCCAGAACGTTATTTGGTGGTGTGTTTGTCTCTTATTAACAACACACCTACACTCCCTGGTTCGCGTTTATTGAGAGGTGGCCGCTGTTTTCGGTGTGTTTTGTGGTGATGTTTTCCTACACGCCAGTGGTCCCGGTCTAATTGTCAGAACGTTAATTATCCGTCCGTGTCCATTCATTTGGGACGGCTGGGCGCGATGGCTATCGGCCACTGTTTGCCCCGTGTCTGTTTGTTTATGCCAGAAGGCTGCTCTGGCGCCCGGGACGGGATAGCTGACCATTCATCATCAGCCCCTGCTCACGGCGGGGGGTCGGCGACAAACCGTGATAGCATCGGCTCGGCCTCACCCCCACCGGTCTGACCCCTGACCCCGCCACCTGCCCCCCCCCCTCCCTCGGGTCCACTCTGCTGTGTATGTTGTAGCTACGTCCGGAGCTGGTGGGGGTAGGGGAGGGAGTGTTTGGACAGAGCCACCCACGAAGGAGTATCGTCGGCAATTTGTCCCAGGAGCTTTAGTGGTCGTTTGACCAGTGTTACTAGAGTTCGTACGACGTTGAGTGTCGGAGATCCGGACAGGATACATTTCAGGATACGACCACGATATACCGGCCCCTGCCTCGGAAGACGAGCCCTGTAATGTAGAGGACTGTGGCGATGAAACGAGACGCTCTGGTGGGGCTGGTCTTTCGAAGGGACGAAGTGATTTTTTTTTGGGGGGGGGGATTAGCTGTGCTTCATTTTCCCCGATGTGACCATATCAAATGCAATGTATGCTTTTGATTATGCTGCAAATGTTTTCTTATGCAAAAAAACCTGCACGTCGGCGTCTACCCTATACCGTCATGACAAGGGTTTATACTTCAATGGCACTTTGTAGCAACTCATGCACTTTACACGGTAACAAACCACCCTCGTACCGACCAGCCATCGATACAAGCTCATTTGCACGCCATCTGCAACATCTAAGTGCTACATGTCCGAACAAACCAAACCGCCAGCAGTATTCCAGACCGTTTTCCCTAAACTCGAGTCTTATTAGACTAAACAATAACCTTGCTAATGCTTATCTTGCCGGTAGCGGCGGAAAACATGTTCTAATGACGTCACAGGACCAAGACAGTGCCACGAAGCCTGTTTGCGGAGCACTTCATTAACGAGAACGCATAAATGCATGCTAACTTGCTGTCACACTGAGTGGCTTGTTACCGGTGAAACGATAATGGCGTCCGTTTCGTTGTTTTACATACCTACCGGCCACCCTGTTTTCCGGTTATCGTGCCATCATTCTCGTTTAAAATACAGACAAAACAAGCCAGCAAGCGATTATAGAGTTGTAAGCGACAGGTTTATCTAGCAGATAGTTATGGGAAGGTTTGTAATGACAGAGATTGTGGCCCTTTGACCCTAACCACGCTGGAAATCTTTGTTCAAGTTTTTAATTTCAACATTGCTCGGTCAGCTGACAACTGTAACAAGGAAGCAAGTAAATAATTTAATCCAGTTTGCTGTCTTGTTCAATGTTTACACAGGTGCACACAATGCTGATGAACGCAATTTATGCAATTTTCACTGTCAACCGGAGCTATATCAACGTAAACGACTCACGTATTTTACATGTGATCAACATTCACAAAAAGTTGACCTCGAGATCAAGGGCGTGAATAAAACGCATTTCCACGATGCAGTTATCTACCGATGCTCGTCATTTATTAAAGCATGCATTGCTTAGTGTGATTACTCCCCCCTTTCTGTACATGCCATATTTACCCAACCCCAGTCGGCACCGATCCCCTGAGGTCGTCCTATGAGTGCCGCGCCGAGTGCCAGCAGACCGATGAATGAGGCGCCCGAATCCGCCGACTCTCTGGAATGCGTCTGTCAGCGGGTCTGGTTTGTCTCTGCGTCTGAAACCGGAGCAGTGTTGACGCGCCGCCCTTCACAGCCGCGACACCCCATCCATCGTGTCGACACCGACGGGACGCGCGTGCCGCCGCTGCCGACGCGGGCCGGGATCGTCTCGTTACTGCGGTGCGTGTGCCGTCGGCGGCGGACGGCGGTGTCAGACTCCGACCCAGGAGGGCACGGTCTGAGGACGGCCGGCTGGCCGGCCGACCCGACCCGGCTGGCCGTATTAATAAGCGCCGGGGGCGTGGCGGCCGGCGGCCGGTGCGCCGATTGGTGGCCGACCGGCGCGGGGGCGTGCTGGCGTGCACGGCCGGCGTGCTCCGATCGATCAGCGGCGTGCACCGACACGGCCAACCATCACCCCCCCCCTGTACCCCCTCCCCACTGATCACGTGACATCCATCCTCATCTGGGACCACAGTCACGTGACTGGTCCCGGCGGGCCAGCACTGCAGGTAAATGCATGCACGGCAGTCGCACCAGCCCAGAGGCCTCTGCACCCGTGTACCACAGCCACTGACGAGTCACGTGACCTCCGACTAACGGCCAAATTTATGGCCGTGTATACCGATGTCTGGACATTGAAACACAGCGTGCTGCTAATTGTATAACAACAACTTCATTGATGGGCTTTTATGCAGCTGCATGGCTGTAATGCCCCCAGCGTTTGATCTTACATCTTTCACCGGTGTACTGACTCTGCGGAGGCGTAAAATACGATGTTCCAGAAAGAACTGCTGCCAGCCACGACACATACGGTGTCAGCCACTGTTTCTCATTAGATGCTGGACCGTAAGGTGTTAATTTATGGGAACAAAACGCAAATAAATGAGCCAAGCTATGGGTGGAGCAATTAAATTCCTTCCCGGCCCCAAGAAATGCCAATAATTTTACGCAAGAGAATCGGTGATGGATATCACGAACTGTCCATGGGTGACCTGCCTACAACGCTTTTACATTGCAAAAGGCTGCGCTAATCACTTTGACATTTCAGAAATGCTTGCTTCTCGGACCTCTTGCAGGTCATGGAAATTAATTTACGCGACATGCTAATTTACAATAGATAAATTTAGGAACAGGTGACGGTTATGAAATCGTCACAAAAACTGAGGGCACTGAGATCTAATGACGCCATTGACACACAAAGTTCTGACGTCACCTGCGACCTATGACGTCACACTCAGCAGCACCACCTGGCCGTGTCCAGCTGACGAACGGCCAGAGTCGGCACCAATTAGCCACAGCGAGCGGCGCACCATCATCGGTGATTATTCAGCTGACGGTGGCGCACCAACACCAATCCGCCACTGTTGGCTGCCAAAGTGGGCCAATCTATACACGAGCCCACCTCATCAGGAGCGAGACGCACTACATACGTCAGCAGCCCGTGAGAAGAGCCGTCCCGGGCGCGGCCGGTCCGTCCCAGCGAGCGCCGCTCGACAGATGGATGGGTGCCATTTGCATCGACATCCGACTG